GCCGCCGACCACTCCTGCGTCCAAGTTGATTACGGTGAAGTTTTTCGATTTTTTTGTTGTAATTTTTTTGTATTTTAAAAATCAACCGTGAATTCCTTGGGTAGTTAATAAGATAATTAGCAGCACTAATTATACATGACTAGTAGTCTAGTGTAATTAAAAACGTACTTCAGCAAAATCGACGGACTTCTGCCAACGTGGGCAAAAAACAGTCATAATTGCTAATATTATTGAGAAACGGTCGATTTTGCCTATTTTATTTAAAAAACGGTTCATTTTAAAGAATTTCTCCTTTTCTCTATGGATGGAAGAGAGCTGATGCTGCTGTGGAGATGGCAATTAAAGTTGATGTTATAGCAAGGGTGGTAGCCGATCAACATTCCTTCTCTCAAATTCTGGATTCGAAATTTGAAATGTTGTGTAAGTGAGATTTTATTGCCTGGATGCACGGGTCTTTATTGTACGTATGTACATAACTTTCTTCAACTGGTTAATGAAAGAGTTAATTGAACGGAAAAAAAAAAGGAAAAAGAAAAATGCTATGAATTATAACGAGTTATTATAAATATGTGCAAGATAGATGAATCAAATTGGGTTTGTTCTTATATTTAGGGACAATTTCCATTTGATATCCTACTTATCTATTATTTTTGAAATTTGTAAGAAAATAAATTGTTAAGAGTATAAAATTATAACCATCATATCTCATCACAACTCAAAGTTTTAGTATATATAGCAGAATGACCTTTAAGATGATATGAGAGCAATCAAATTCAGGTCAAAGTTTTTATCGATATATATAGGAGGAGAAAAATATAATGTTGCATAAACAATATTTCATACTCCCTTTAAAAGTACGAGTTCAGGAATTTTTTTCTATGGTCAATATTACCCTTTATCTTTTAAATATTACATTGTTATCCTAATATATATTCTAATTATCCTATCTTCTTTGAATTGGTAATTAAATGATTTATCTTATTCATCATGAGACTTAATATGTTATTGGATAAAGGCGATATGTTTGATATAATTTAAATTCTTTACTTATTTTATTTCGTAGAGAAATCTAAAAAACATATGCTAGCTAGCACATAAATTTTTTGTACTTTGTGCAAAATATCCTCCAAGTTTTTTAAATTACAAAAACACCCCTATAAATTAAAAATTTTATTAAAACATCTTAAAAATTATAAATTTTATTTATTTTAATTTAGAGAGAAATATAAAAAATATATGCTACCTAGAAACTGAATGTTTTTTTACTTTGGAGAAAATATATTGTAAGTTTTAAAAATTATAAAAACACCCCTAAAAATTTAGAATTTGTAAAAAAAACACATTGAAAATTTCAAACCTATAAATACATTAAAAACCGACAAATAACACAAACAACCTCCGAAAATTTATGGAATTTCCAATAAATACTCTAAACTTTTTACAAATTACAAAATAAAATTATTAAAATTGTAAAATTTATAAAATTCCTGATAATTTCCAACCTAATAGTACATTGAAAATATAGGAATTGTAAATACCTCCTACATAATTTATTATTTATAGAAAATACCCTTAAAATTTTAAAAATTATAAAAAAGCTTAAAATTTAAAATTTATAAAAAACATTCTGAGAATTTCAAACTCATTAGTAAATTGAAATATAGGAAGTATAAATAGTCTATAAACAATTTATAATCTGTAGAAAAGGTCTATAAGTTTAAAAATTACAAAAAAAACCCTAAAATTCTTAATTTTCATAAAAAACACCATGAGAATTTATAACATATAGACACTAAAATGAATATACAAAATTACTAACAATATCTAGAAAATTAAAATTTTTAAAAAAATATCATACTCTCTTTAAAAGTATAGGTTTAGAAAAAAATTCTGATCAATATTATCCTTTTTGAAAAGAACATAACTAATTAAAAAATCTATTAAATTTAAAATTTATAAAAAAAACCCTTAAAGTTTAGTACATTACAAATTACCCTTCCAAACTTTAAAAATTTTTAATGATTTTTTTGTAATTCCTTAATTTCAATGTAACGTTTAATAGTTTTGTGTATTTGTCAATTATAAAAATTTTAGGTTTTTTATAATTTTAAAACTTTTGAGGGTGTTTCTTTTGTAGTTTTCTAAATTTTTATTGTTTTTTCAGTGTAATGTATAGATACATCAATTAATGATAATATTGAAGAGTAAGTCATTCTTAAGACGTATTAGGCCATAATTAAGTGTGCACATCACTACTCCTAGGCAGTATATTTTATATATGCAAAATTTTTTAGATAATTTATATAGTGGTTAAAAAGATTTTGACTTTAATGTACTAATTTTTATAAAGGAAAATATAATGTGAACCCATCATTTAATTTTGACCGTGGTCATCATAATTTTAATACTTTTGATTAATTGACTAAATAGGTATATAGACCATAGATTACTTTGTTTTCTCACATGAACTAATATTTGGTTCTTAATAATTTAAATTGTTACTTTTAAATTTAATATAAATAAGAGCTCTAATAACATTTATTTATTTACCTATAGGATAATACAATCTCAATTCCTATTTTTTGCTTGAGATTTATTCCATAGTTATGTACATCAAATTAGTAACTAAAATAGTAATTATATATGCTTTAATTAGGATGATTGTAGTTGGTCACTCACTATTGAATTTTTATGAAGATATACACCTTACTTTTTATATCATAATCTCCCTACTCTAATTTCGTAAGAAAATAATTTTTTATACTTTCAGTTTTACTTCTAGAATGAGCTATAAAATTGAATGAGAATATTAGATAATATAAATATTATTAAAACCATAACTAAAAATTATTGTGAATGACCACCCATCTTTTAAAGATATCAAGATACTAATAAACAGAGATGTTGTACTACATAAATGTGTTTATAACTCACAAATAGTAGACCAAGTGGCTAAAGTCTGGGTTGAAGAAAACAATGATAATATTTCATGATATTTTTATTGAGTTGATGATCAATTTAAATATTATTTTTATTGAGTTAATGATAAATATTTCTTGATATTTTTTATTGAAGAAAATAATATTGAGTTGATGATCAATCCCATAAAAAACTTTATTTTATTTTTTATATTTAATCTATTTTTATCAATTTAAATAATCATGATATTAAACCATGTGCATTGCACATGTATCTCAACCAGTATTCCTAAAAGAGATGCTCAACACTGATATTATTATAGGTTTTCGATCTTAATTTGTCCCTTAAAACTTTCATATTTTGAGGTTAGCCCTTGAAATCATTGAAATTGCTAATAAGTCCAATAATTCTATAAGTTAT